CTGCAGTGGGTTGCCATGGGCTACCGTGTGTAGCCAGCAGCCAGCGTGAGTGGCCAGCAGCCACAGTGAGCGGCTGGCAGCTGGTGAGAGCTGCCAAGAGCCGCCGTGAGCAGGTGTCCAGAGGCTGGTGACCGATCTGCCTCCCCCGGGAAGAGCGCAATGATAATACCAACATGGGCCAGTGAAGCAACGTCCTCCACAACTAGACTGAAGAACAAAAGGACAGCAACTTGTCTGTTCCCCTTCGCTCTATTCCCCAGTGCTGTTCCCCTCCCTCAATTCCCCAGTAAAATCTTAAAAAAAAAAAGAGTCCTCCCAAAGATACGCTCTTCCTTACGTTCCATTCTGAGTGTAAACATCTGTACTTTAGTTTTACTGGTCTTTCAAGCATTACATTCTGATTAGTCTTTAGCTTTGCAACCACAAAGAAATGTCCAGTTTCATACTCTCCAGGAAACCGAAGTCACTCCTTAGTTTATATTTGTACAGCCTGATTTTCTGATTTTTAAGAAATTGAATGCCATTCTGTGTTTAAAATACTTCTGTATTTTACCAGGATCATTTTCAATCTTGTTTTCTATGGCATAAGCTGGGCCTCCTGACATGGTGCCATTTTTACTGTTTATATTGCAGCATTCAGCTTAATGATAAAGTTGAATACTATGCAGCCCCTTGAACCATGTTTTTTTACTGTCACCTCCTATGTAATGACACTATTTCAAGCCTCAACTCTATGTTAACTGATCAAATAAATGTATTAAGTAATGAACAACTTAGTACCACTAAGTTATTAACAAGGCATCTAGACATCTAAAAAGTGACAAACAACAGTTTTTGGATGGTTTAATAAACATTCATCTACAGTACTATTAAGAACTTAGTAAAGGCTTGATAAAGATGAATATGTAAACTAATACATTGTGTTATAGTCTCTAGCATTCTGTAATTGTTCTTATGTGTTTACATAATTTCCACAAATTTATTTTACAATCCTTGAGGCCCTTACTCCATAATGTGGAAGACTGATGTTACTAGGTAATTTAATATTATGTATATTGAACCAAATTCCAACTCGCCCTCTCTCTTTATTACCCTGACAGAGGGAGATACAAGACAAATAATATCCAGTTGTAGAAAAGAAAATGTTAAGTATTTGAAAAAATGGACCTATAAATAATTTTTGGTGATTACATATTGAGTAATATTAAAAAAAAACTTGCATGAATTTGCATGTCAATGTGGAGCCTGATGTACAAAAGTTTGTAACTAATCGAAAGCCTACAACTTACTGTGTACAAGAATCAGGCCTCGTCTCCATACTTTAAACACACCTTTTGCCCTTAATCAAACTGAGGTGTGTTGCTCTTGTGATAGACATTCTTCAGAAGCCCAGATATTGGGATCCGCTCATATGAAGTTAGTTAAAGCTAACTTCCCAGGCTCACTAAACATTAAGAGATTTGACAGCCTCTTAAACCATTGTTTTTAGGGTTCCAAGAAGAGTACAGGAAGGAGATGCTGTCATTTTTGGCTGCGGGAACAGTTGTAACTCCATGCATGTCATCCGGAGGCCGCGCGGGAACATGTGTCTTCCAGGTGGTGCCAGGAGCGCCACCTGCTGCCCGTGGCGGCCATGCTCCGCCTCCAAGTCACCCTGTTCTAGCCAATCTCTGACTTCTGGTTTTATATTTCTCGGGACTCACACAAAAACATTTAAGGTAGAAGACATTTAAAATATATTTTATCCTCACATACTTACAGTTTTAATTCCCAGCATCTGGAAACCTCTTTGTCAAACTGTGAGTTTCCTGCAGGGCACTACTAAGAATTTAGATGTTATTACATCCTTTAGCTAAGTGAAAAACATTCCAAGTAATGCTAGGGGTATGATAATCCAACTATGCTAATATTTACCTGCGCCCTTCTTTTAAGGGGACGCAAATGACAAAGTAGGTGTCTTTAATATTCACTTACTCCTATAAAGTACAAAATATTATAATTTTCACTTAATATGAAGGAAGTCAAGCACAAAGGAGTTCAGTTTCAAAAAGTTGTTTATCAGAAAAGAGATATAACATTCAGCTTTCCACTTGCCCTCTGCTCCTCCATCTATTTTTATCTAATTTTATTTTAAAACAATGTCTTTCACCTTATCATGATTAAAATGCAAAATATATCTCTCACATTTTTCCTCTGGAAATAAAATTGAATTAGCTTTTATACACAGTCCCATCCCTGTGCCAAGCACTGTGAAAGCACTTGATAAAAAATATTGCTTAGGTTTGAATCATATAAAACAATTTTAAAAATGCTTTGCAAAGCTTAATATTTTTTCATACTTGAATTAGCAAAATAGGTAACAGAATTTTCTGTCTTTAAAACAGTAATATGTTCTGCTTGGGGGGAGAAAAATAAGAAATCAGGCTTCAAGTATTTTAGACTCTTTGTTCATGGAAACACATCTAGTTCTGAGATTTATGATGGATGCTTAGTCACTAGAATACTTACTTTAATTTAATGAGTATGTAACTTGTTTAGGCTTAGTAGTTAATTAAAATAAACTTTTGATAGTTTGTAAAACAGCCAAACAAATAAAAAAAGTACACAAACACAAACAAAAGAACTTTCTAAAATATAGCCTGTTCAATCTAACTGAACTTGCCTGATGATTGAGACACATAAGGATCATTAACAATCTTTATTCCTACAACTACAAAAAAAAATTTAGAGACAAAATACACTAGTATCAGGATATGCCCTGAAAGTTGTTTTCTAAAGTAAATCCTTGATTCGTTTCTTTTTTCCATTTGATTTTGGGGGTTATTTGGTCCCCTGCCCCATTTACCTCTTTCTAAAAAAATTGCAATAGTGGAGTCCATTTGGTCAAATTTATTTTGGTAATTTTGTCACATTTTGTGTTTTGTTGTGGATATGTTACAGATATGAGTTATTTCCTAGGCTATTCTAGCTCAGTAAGAATAATGCAACAGTAAGTTTCCATCTAAATCTGTTCTGGTGGAATCTCAGCACCCACCCATTTCCTACCATATATGTTCTAGAAGTCCCTAGAGGAATTTACTGTCTTGGTTACCTCATGGCATCTATTCTATCTTGCCCTGGCCCACATTGGTAATACTGCCAATTACTGCCCACAACAAAAGTGGTTCCTGTGCCTAATTGTTGCCCAGCAAAGAGTCTGCAGTCATTTCTATAACCTTTCCACATTAGCAGAGAGGCTATTGTTGAAAACTGGAGGCTGTGTCTTTATTTCATCCTCCATCATGACAATGCTTCATGTCACACATCACTTCTGGTAGGGCAATTTCTGTCAAATAAAAACATTACAGTATGTCCTCATCTACCGTATTTACCGGATCTGGCACAGTGCAACTTTTGGCTCTTCCCCAAAGTCAAAATGACCATGAAAGGTAAACGTTTTGAATTGATTCAGGACATCGAGGCAGACATGACAGTGCAACTAAAGAGACACTCACGAAAGAGGACTTCCAGAACTGCTTAAGAAAGTGGTGAGAATGATGGGATAAGAGTGTTTGAAGTGAAGGGGAGTGTTTTGAGGAGGATTAATGGCAATGTATCTTTTAGTGTTATAATTTTTTAAAAATTTAAACATTCACCATAGTTTTTTATCACACCTTGTAATAATTTCTAAAACCACTCTATATGTATATTGGAACTGACCATTTAAGTAAGTGAATAAGTGATGGTGGGAGCTAGATTTTCTCACTAATGTTGGGAGGTTTTAGACAAAGAAGAAGAGAAGGCTAGAATGATCCATTTGGTAAGAGTACAGTTGGAGACATAAGTATGAAATCATATTTAACTTAAGATAGATGCAGGTGGTGAAATATGAAAAAAAATATATATATATATACCCCCAGAGGTCAGGATATAGCCATATATTCCCTTGCTCAGTCAGCTGACAGGGCCTAGAAAAAAAGGATACCTCAGTAGTAATAAGGAAACCTAGCAACCACACTCCTGAAGTGGACCTATGCATAGCGAGTGACTTGTGTTTAAAAAGTACAATATGGAAAGGAAAATAGAGTAACTTTACAGTGAGTAAGCCCGACAAACACTACCTCAGCCAGGTGATCAGAGAACATGAACAGCAAGTTTTGGCAAGTTGTCAGTTGTCCCAAATAGCAAGTAAGGATTATACAAACTATATTCCTTTTAAAGCCCTTTCATCTTTATCTAGTCCAATTACTTCAGGATGTTCTTTGACTCCTTAAATAGACTGAGCCTATTCAACAGTTTCCTTTAGGATGGCAACAAAAGTAAAACCGTATCTGCTTCCCTTATTATCCCATTGAAACAGGTTTTTGTGAAACACTGGATTTATGATAAATGAAAAATAAAATTATACTTACCTACTTAAAAATCACATTTGCCTTTACAAAACACTACTTAATTTCCAACAGACAGTATTTCAACTGCATTAATTTGTGCTATAAGAGAAATAGTGTTTTTCTAAGAAAAAAGCATTTTGAATTTTAAATCATTTTCAGGCTCTAGGTTATTTAATGTCACTAATTGATCTAATACAAATATTCCTTTAGAATATTTTACTCAAACTAAATGCTACATTATACAAAAGTTAGCCACCAATTTTTTAATGGAATATTCTCTATCTTTCAAAGTCACAAGCTATATTGTTAAGGGAAGAATATTGTCAGTGTACATCAAATATGGATCTAAAAGTGTTTAAGACATGATTTCAGTATTTATGGAGTAATAATTTAAAGTGTGTAAAAATCTAAATTCTTATTATAATAACTAAGTGAAAGCATGAGCTTATAGGGAAATTCCAGGGTATGAAGATAAAAAATAAACAACCTACAATATATTGATGTTTGTACAAAATTATTTAATATTCATTTATTAGATCTAAAACAAAAGTTAATTTGGAATAATATATTTTTGCTAACATTGTATGATTATAAAAATTGATTTTTAATTTATAATTTCATCCTGTTTATTTTAAATATTCTAGAACCAAACTGAATATGATAAACTTTAAAAAAAAATACAGCATCACACATAGTTAACATGAAACAATGATTACTTTATACCCTTTCGCCATAGGTACACTAAGCATCAACAGATATTCACGAAAGATAAATATCTGCGGATTAATTGTTGAATAACTGGATAATTTTGAGAAAAGTTCAAGTTGAATGCAAATCAGAGTTCAACCTTCTTCCTGCTTACCTAGATCACACTAGATGTCATCTTGATTAAATATTTGCTTCCACATATGAGGCTACCAACACATACCCATACTTTTTAATACACCATGTTAGAATTGTGGCTAATCCCATCATTATAATAGAGAGATATCAACATGTTCCGGGTACAAGCACTTAAACTATTCTGAAATTGTCTGTTAGAACTATTATATTGGGTTGTCGGAAAAGTCATGACTTATTTTTTCTGTTTTTTGGTTGCAAAAATGCATCATGACTTTTCCAACAACCCAATACTTTGAAATCACACCTATTGTTTTTCTGTTTGTTTCTGCTCTCAAACCAATGTACTTGTATGTACATTGTATGTAGAGAGTAAACATTACCTTACCAAACTTTAGTATGAAAGTATGTTCACTTGACATTATCTTTCCACCAAAATGAGTTTGGGAGAAAAAGAAAAGTATATTGCTTGAAATGAATACATCCATGAAGTTTGGCGTGTCTGTTTAAAACTTAAACTGACTAAATTATGTGAAGTATCACGTGCTTGCTCACTCTTAACCTGGAGCAGTTTCCCAGCCACAGTAACTTTGGAAATTCACTATGGACAGATTCTGACATAGACATTTCTGGAGGAAAAAAAGATACAAGGAGAGTAATCAAGGAAAAAAGGCAGAGGAGAATAAATCTGCTGTGCAAAAGCCTCACTACCCATCATAAGTGGAGGCAATAAAGCATCCTGCATTTCCCAATTTCACCAATTTCAACTCAGAAGCTATTTAAAAGCTATTTATGTTTCCAGAATGATAGCAGTTGCTGTACAAAAAAGTGACGAGCTTTTGCTTGCAATTAAACATAATTTAAACTCTAGTCTTTATGTAATTTCAGCTTTAAAGTTACACTGCTCTAAATAGGACTTCCCATTTCAGAGCTGCCTAGTGACAATTAGCCCATTTTCCCCTTATCTCTGAAAGTTGCCCATCTAACACAAAGAATGGGTAATACATTAGAGTCAATCTGGTTTGGTTTACTGTGGGATCTGCCTTTAGTAAATGGGTAAAAGACTAGGGTCCAGAATTACAGAAGTAAAATTTTCTAAGAGCAAAATTAAAACTCTCGCGCTGTCACCCAATTCAAATGCTTTTTCAATGATCTGTTACTAATCTATAAAGAATTTAGAGATGGCTCTAAAAATTAACTAATAATTTTTAATACACTAATAATTAGAAAATTTCCTTATTACAACTGAATTCCTTATCTGATTATAAGGAAATACACATTTTAAAGGTTATTTTTTAAAATTCATAAATATACTTAGCTACCTTTCTTGTGAAAAAATGACTGCTCCCTCTTAAAGTTTTATTTTTATGCTATTAATTTATTAGGAATTGTGCAAAACTTTCAATCTACTAAGTCAGCTTACCAAAACAATAAAATCCCGTGTTGCAGTACTTGGGAACTCCCTGGGGTACAATGAGGGTTTTAAAACCTACTTTTATGAATGTGAAACTGAACATTATATTCTGGATTTATGTTTATAAAGTGCTTTTGCTGTACAGTTACTGTTATATTTCTGCAATTTGTGGAGAGAGAGCGCAAAAGAGAGTGACTATTATTAAAGAAGATTCCTCAAGCATTAGAGGAATAAGAAGCCAGAAAGGTATAACGTGGTAGAGTATTAAAAATACAGGCTTTTGTGTTTAAGCCCCAGTTTTACCAATTCAGAGCTGTGTAAATTTTGGATAGCTAGGTAGCTTCTCTTAGGCTTAGTTTTCTTATTTTCAGAAAGGAGGTATTTACTTCACAGGGTTAGTGTGACTATTTAACAAGATAATATAGTGAGTGCCATTCCTTGACTAGCTTCCTACTCTAATGGACTTCTTTCTCTAGCACAGAGCCAGGTTGACCAACTCACACATGGCTCCTTTTCCCTTCCTCTCATTGTCACAGGTCAGCTGGAAGGAGATCAAAATGGCTGCCTAGCAATTAAAACTGGCCTGCTAGTTTACTTTCAGAAATCAGTCTCAATTTAATTCCCTACTCTCACCTATTACAATTATTTTAAGCCCTGTGTTTCTCTTGTCTGGTAGAATTCAACTAAACTCTTTCTGGTTGATTGCTGTTGAGTTAGGAATTATAGTTTCTACTTAATTCCCAACAATTTGGATGAGGCAGAAATTGAACAAATTTGCAAGGTAACGTGATGTGACATAATTTTAGACACTTTAGTATCATTACTGATTAGTTATGTGACTTGGCATATTACCTCTCTGAATCTCAATGTCTCAATTATCACCTCGGTCATCATCGATAAAATATTGAGTGCAATGGCGCCCACAAAATGTTGTTGTGGTGGCTTTTGGTTGAGGCTCATGACCTAGTCTAGAGAAAGTGCTCAATAAACGTTAAGTCTTCTTTTCCTTTCTATCATGTTTTCTCCCTTCATGTTTCTTCTCACGGGTTTAAAATACTATGGAAAATAATTTAAATGACATAGATATTTTAATGTCATTATTTTAATTATTTCATGACCTACATATTAATATTTGACTGTTATCTTGAATTTTTAAAACAAAGTATTGCCCCATACAGCAAATTAGAAGGTGTTACGTAATAATTTAAGGTGTTGTAGGCACACTTCCCACTTCTCAAATGATGCACTGTTTTTTTAGTTCTGTTCTTTGTGGATGAAGTAAAGCCAAGTTAAAGTTTCTGTGATGGATACGAAGCTTTATTTCATTACGCTAAGAAAGGCAAAGGATATCTTATGTTCTGAGTATCACCATCAAATTAAGATATAAAAAGACTTAAAACATTCAATCAGTCCCCACAGTCCTGGAAGAACAGACCAGGTGCCACTTCTCATTGTCACCATGGCAGTCCTCTGAAAGCACTGTCCTTTCACCCCTTATTTGGCACAGCATAAAAAACAGCAAAGACCTTTGCAAGCAAAACACCTAAGCATTGTCATACTAATCTAAGATAAAAAGTTCATGCCAAGCTTTACATTTTTAATAGTTTTTATAGTAGAAAAAAAGAGAGGAATAATTCAGGTTTTCCAAATTTCTGCTGGCTTGCTACAAGTTTGAAGGAAGAAATGACTATGAAAGGTCAGCAGCTGACAGGTAAGTGAAGGAGAGGCTCCCTAAAGAGTGGAAAGAAGCACATCCTGCATGGTTTTCAAAGGATAAAGAAAACAAAGCCCTATGATGTACTTATGCTACATGCGACTGACTTTGCAAACACTCTCAGACAAAATAAAAAAAACTATGCTCAGCCATATAGTTTAAATTGTACTGTTGCTCCCCAACCAGTTGTATATACTCCCCAAGAACATTAATAAAACATTAATAAAATATAACAAGTAATCCTGTAGAATTTAAGGCAATTAAAAACAAAAAGCTTTATTTTCTCATAATTTGAAGATATGAAAACCTCATAATGATGTATTACAAAGAGCCACAGATAGTATTAGGATCTTTTTGTAAAAGGAAAGGCTTTGGAATAAATGGTTAAAATCCATACTCCACTAAAGTTTCTACTTAAGAAGACCTTCAGGCTGGATAAAACAGTTACATTTTTTTTTTACCATTACCATTTAAAAATCATGTGTTTTACAGAGATATTCCATCTATAGTACAATTAAGCACAACTAACTTTCTCACACGGAGCAATAACTTTACTGTACATAGTTTATTAGTAAACATATACATCATACCCCACGTTCTGCCCATACAGAAATCTCTTCCATGTTATAAAAACTGTCCACAATGTTCTTTGGATAAATGTTTATAGTCACATTCATTTTGTATTTTAATATCTATTTGCAATTGCAGTATTTCATTTATTTTTGTGTATGAAGTTTCCGAACTTCTGCATAAATCCTCGAAACTTGTTTTCATTTGGCTGATATGAGTGATAAACATTAGGGTTGTAATTAAGTATTGGGCTGGACCTACCATAACTATTGCCCATCGTTGTGGATTTTATTTCGGGGCGGTGTATACTGGCATTTGGTATGCTGCCTATTGACTGCATAGAGTTATCAATCTTATACAGTGGCTCAAAACGACTGTAAACGCGCCGGTCAGTTGACTGAGTTCTTAGAAGCTCATTGGGCCTTGGTCTTTGAGAGGAAGCTGGTTTTCTTTGACGAACAATTGCATTGATCTCCTTTGAATCTCGGTACTGGATCTGTTCGGTGTTAAATCTTGGGGCAGAAGCATCACCTGCCCTTTCCAAGAACTTGTTTTCAACTGGACCTGGAGAAGGTATTCTTCTATTACTTTCATCAGATGAAGAATTTATCCCTTGAGATGAGCTAACTGTTACATCTTCCTTACTCTTGTGGATACTACCTTGAGAGTTTGATGAGGAAGAACGCTTTCTTCTAGGAGATGAATCCACTTTTGGCTCTGATTTTTTTGGGTTTTGATTCTCTTCAGTCTCAGAAACTAAAGTGTCAGAACTACTACACATTCTGTAAAAGGCAGATGTTTTATTTTTGGATAGATTTTCTTTCTTTTCTGGGGAAATGCTAAGTAATGACCTTAACTTCTGAGATCCCTTTTTCAAAAAGCTTGGAGAACCCTTAACTTCCTTCTTTGAAGTGAGTTCTTTGTTAGGTTCCTCTTTATTCACATCGACCAAAGCAGCAATGGAAATGGACTTGGTAGTTGTGCCACTCGGAGGGTCTCTCTTGATGACCTCCTCCTCTTCTTCCACGCTATTGGTCACATTGTGCATGCTCCTGGAGCTTTTCAGCAACTCCTCTTTGGGTTTCTCTGGTTGTCTAACTCGGTTCCTGGTAAGTGTACTGTATACATAATTCTTACTATTTCTATGATCTAAATTGGCTTTTGAGTGGTCAAAGATTGGGAAACTTCGCCTTTTCATCATATTCTCATTTTGTTGATTCTTTAGATTTTCTGTCTGCTTGTTTACACACAAGTTTGTATATAAATAGTTGTTTGACTCTATATGGTCATTTGTAGTTTTCTTTAAGGTGGCTGACTGGTTTTCGGCAACCGGTAAGGTATGCATTTTTGGTGTCTCTGACTGTGGCGGTAGCTGGGGGATTGGCTCTGGCAACGGTTTGTCTGTCAAATGCTCTCCATTTGTAGGGGTCTCTGGGGCCTCTTTAGGTGTGTCACTTCCCTGGGAACCAATGATAGTTGAATTTGAGGAGCTCGTTGTACAACTGTTAACTTCCTGCTGCTCAGGTAAAGTTGGTTTAAACACAAAAGAGGAGCGAAGCCGAGAATGAGTATAAAGGGCATTGGCTTTCAAATTCTCAGAGCTTCCATAGCCCTCAAACCGGTCCCCTAGACCTGATCCATTTGAATCAGGTACAGCTTCTGAATGGTCATTTAAGTAGGATTCAATTCTCCAGTTACGCAAGAATGACTTTGTGGTATTTTCAAGGGTTGGCATGCGTTGTTGCAAAAAGCGAACTTGATTATCTGTCCCGTTAAAAGACCTACGCACATTTGAATTCCTTTCTGCAAGATTTGTTGTTTTCCTCTGGGCAAGCCGACTGGCAAAACTCTGGGTAGGTGTGTTATGGTGGCTCGCATAGCCTTCTCGCGATGAGGATGCCACACTGAGACTATCTGAAGGCTTTCTCCAGTTCCGAGGAGGATTGATGGCTCGATTCAGAGCCCTGTTCAACAGCAGGTAGGGTGCTGTTTCTGGCTGTTCCCCTGCATAACTATGCCTCTTCCAATTTTCATTCATCTGACTGGATTGATACTGACAGGTTGTATTTGGACCATTAAAATTTGGAGTAAAAGGAGGTTTGTATCCATGATTTCTTATGTTATATTTATCATGTTCATTTCGAGCATATAGCCCCCTGTTTTTGAAGTAACTAGAATCTAGTTTGTGAATTTTGTCTTGTCTACCAAGAAGGTTTATTTGGCTGGAAACAGAAGCGAATGAAGAAATTGAGCGCTGGTAAGTGCCATTGTCCCAGAGAGCTTTGCCATGCTTCACCCTTGCTGATTCTTCCTGAATGAATGAACTGGGGACACATGATCTGGCATAGAGAGTTCTAAATTCTTCATCAAAGGACTCCACAAGTTGTCCTGTGATTATTTGAACCATGCTGAGGTGGGTTTTTTCAAATGACCACATGTAGCTGGAAAAAAAAAAAGAAATCAAAATTGGAAAATTTTATGTTTGCTAAGTTAAAATATTAATGACAATATATAGCTCTACTAAGAAAACTATGTCATTTAATGTCGACAAGAGTATTTTTTGTTTGGTCTCCTTGGCTACCATAACTTAGAACATCTCCAGTCATTACATGCTTGTAAGACATTTGCCTCCCCAACCCCATAACCATATTTTAAATAATAAAGCAACTCAAGTCCAGAATTTGAATCCATCCCAAATTCCTGCACTACTTACCACAAGACTGAAGAAAAGTCTACTGTACACTTTGTATCTCTTCCTACTAAGATTTTATAGAGTAAAAATGGTATTATATTTCATATAGAGCATCTGAGCAGGGTACAGACAAGCTAGTTTCGTAGGAAAAGTTGAGAGGACTGGCTTCTGCTGAGCTCTCTAGCCACATAAGCGTGGGCCTCAGCTTCCTCATGTCCAAAATGAGGACATGGAAAGCATAACTGCTACCATTTCTCATAGTTCTCACATGCTATAATGTAAGGCAGTTCTGTGCTAGTACATGTATTTTATTTCTGTGACTTATTCAGTGAGTGTAATTTAGGATGCCGGGAGTTATACACAGAGGGAGGATTTGTGAGCAGCAGGCTCAGTCATTAAATGGCACACTTCACAGCACTTGGTATACAAAGGATTGGTAAACTTAGTCCTCACAAACCATGCCAGTCAGAAAGCCAATTAAGGTCTTTCAATACAGGTACAATTTCTAGGAAATTACATTTGAAACTACTTCATAGTACTTTTTGTGGAAGTTCCAGTCTCTTCACTAGAGTTTAGAGGTGACAGTTATTATTTGAAACTTCATGTAACATTTTAAATTGATGTTTGAAAATCTAAATAATTAACATATAGAGTCACTGAGCTGAAAAAGGAATGGATTGCTAATATGCTAAGTATCCAATACTGTACATGATACAACAGAGATTAATAAAAAAGACAAGGAGACGAAGACATTCTCCACAATGTCTGTTTGTATCAGAGAGACAATAACAAAGGCAGATGAAAATATGAAAAGAATGTGCACAGTGATAATTTAAAATATATAAAATATCATAAACAACAGTGTGAAACTTAAGTATTATTCTGATATGCTTAATTTTATCTAGGATGGTATGAGTAGGACATCTGCTAGGTGCTATTTTTTTGCAGATGTGTCAGCCACCAGGCTGTCTTAAAAGAAATGGTACAAAAATGAATCGTTAAAGACATTTTCAGAGCAGCTGAAGATATGAATGCAAAATATATTGAAAACAGCAAGTAAAGGAATGAAGAATAGTCAGGTATCAAATATGAGAAAATCCCCGAAGAAGGTGGGAGTTGAGCAATATTTTGGCAGAGACTAGATACCCAGAAGTTCAGACATCAAAGGTATGGCAGGACAGTTTGTGTCGACAAAGAAACACAGAAAAAGGGAGGAAGTAATAATGGCCACATACTGGTTGAACACAGAAAACAAATTATATTTAACTGAAGTAAAAAACTATACAAGAGATGGATGAATTAGTGTGGAAAACCTTGAAAGCAAAGCAGAGTTTGATTTTTGATTCTGTAGAATTTGTTTACAAATTTGGGTAAATTATAATAAAAGAAGATGTCCGAGGAATGATTTTTTTTTTCTAGGAGCTATTTGTAGTACAGACTTGAAAGATGAGAGACTGCAATTACTATGATGAGCAAAGTAGTTGGAATAAGTTAATGAGACACTAAACCAGAGTAGAAATTGGAACAACGAGTAAAAATGTTGAGCCAGTAACAAGAAGAATCAGAATATCTACATGTCATACAAGGTGTGCATAAGTTATGAAATAGAAATAACTTCCAAGTTTTGAGTTTAGGAACCTGAGAAGATAATGGTAATGGTGAATGTGTGGCAATTGGAAAAGGTTCCATGCTTTGGCTAAGTCAGAAAATAATATTTAATATAATTTAAGGTACTAGAAAGACATTCAATTGGATATATTCAATTTAGAGATCATTCTGTACAAACACTGACCACTCCCAGAGAAAAAAGAGCTATTTATACTGACATTTAGGTATCTTCCTGTAAAATGTCCAGGATCCCAGCCACTCACTCTTCTGTGATCTCAACTGTTGACAAGCATTTTCTGCACAATTTCCAATTAGCTTTATAGTCCCTCATTCTTAAATAACAACATATAGCAAAAGATTGGCAGACATATAAAGCAAATTTAGAAGACAGCTTATAATGTTTAAAAGCTTAAATGCAAAACAGTAACCAAAACATACACACACAAAAAAGGCACCTGGAAGGAAATAGAGAAAATGCACAAATAAGAATGTGTTTACACACACACACACACACACACACACACACACTAATGTCCTCAAAGAAAAAGAGAGAGAAAATAATACATCTATAAAACATAAACAGGATGCTATAAAAATGGTTCAAGTAGTAGATATTCAAAATATCTGCTATATACCAATCAGTATAATGGTCCACCCACCCCACCCCCCATTCCTGGATGGAAAATTGGAGGAACTGAGAAAAATTTGTCAAAGAATGAAAAAGAAAACTTCTCAGAATTGTAAGACACAGGTATTTGGATTGCCCAGAACAACAAAAGAAAAGAGGCCGAGACCTAGAAACATTATAATAAATTTGAGAATAGCATGGAATAAAAAAAAACTAGGATTAAAAATGGGACTTAAATAATTATAGCTCCAACTACCCAGGAATATGGGAAATACCTGCTAGGTTCAACACCTGCTAGTCCAGATTGGACGTCACAGATTGTTGGTAGTAATCGAGCATATGGAAAAGTTGTTCATGTGCTAAGAAATCTGCAGTCAACTGCAAAAAAATAGCAATAGATACATAGAAAACAAAGACAATAAATAAAATCAAAACAAAATTGTCATCATTAACTTTGTTATGAAAAAGAAGCATATCAAAAATCACTCCATGGCTCATCAATGATCAATTTTGACACAATTTCAGTAATGTAAAACCAGACTTCTCATTTAACCAATAAATTATGATTAAACAAACAAACAAATAACTGTATTGGGTGAACGGGGATCAGGAGGGGAAGTGGATATGAGTGGGCAGGAAACATAACTCTTCAATTACCATAATATAAAAAGATAACATCTAAAAGTAATAAATCGAGAAATAATAGTATAATCACATTATTTAAGAGAATGAAATAAGTATCAGAAGAACAAGCTACGAGAATTAGATAATTACATCTAGAGGTCAGGAGCCAGGAGTGGAGAGAGGTAGACAAATATAAAATTCACTTATTACTCCCACCCCCTCCATACACACGGTCACATATTAGTGATGAAGTTGGGAATGTGGTTATGAGCTCACACATTAAAAAGTGGTTCAAGAACTCTTGAGTTGCTGGCTGGGGGCTATACAGTGAAGTCCATAGAGTAAAAATACTGACACTATACTATTGTTTATGTACTATTTATATATATTATACTATTGCAGCATGGATCTCTAAATGTGATGATCTTCAAGTCTGGTCAAAGACAGAACCTTGGAGCCAATAACTTCAGTGAAACTTGCCTTTTGAAAGTAACTTTTATATAGATTATAAGATTTTTAGAAAGCTTATAAAATTCTTTCTCAGGCAAATTTGTGGACAATACTTTACTAAATATCTTCCAGATACTCATATGAAAATTTCAAATGACTGTATCCAATTCAAAATTTAATTTATATACACTGATCAAAGATATATAAGTGTTTTATCTCATCAATGCACGGTGATATGGCAACCTATTGTGTTTTCCTGATAAAACCATCATCATGATGAGTGAGCTGTCACACAATGTGTGACTATGGTGAATACAGATATCAAGCCTCTCTAGAAATACTGGGAGTTTAGAATATGAAGACATTTTATGGCAAAGAATTTTGAATAAAGAAGTTGGCATTTTGAATGTGCTTATGAGGAAAACAATAACAATACAAAGGGTAGTCTTAACCACAAGGAAGTAAACTTTTAACGAGTTTCTAGGAGGACTGGTTCATAACTGTTCCACCAGATCTTGTTAGAATATTGTTAACAATAGGGAAGGTCCATGATAATTAGTCAGGGGGAAAAAAAAATGACAAGGGTTTACAACCATTCATTTTTTAAAGAAGTATATCTAAAATTAACATGAAATAATAAAGACAGTAGAGTTGTTAGATAAGAAAGAGTTTTGATGAATTTTTATAATCTGTGGTTGTGGACATTCCATATTCACAGCCATAAATAGTAACTTAAATTCTGCCCCTGGCTTATGATATAGATAGGAAGATACAGCGCTTTGGTGCCATTGTTTGTTTGCTTTTCCCAACATCACTTCGAAAGTAGCTTGGCTATCTATAGTCATCTTAACATATAGCATCTATTATACCTAGTGGTAGCAAAACAAAGTTGAGTAAATTTATTGTTGAAAGTCAAGTTAAATAATAAAAACAGAAAGCATTCATTATGATGAGATTAACTAATAAATGCCATTCTACAAGTCAAGTGAACTCCCAATTTTAATTAAAATTTCAATTAAAATCACTCTAAAATCAAGTGGATCTGAACAAATACATACATATATAATGAGTCTTTAAAAGGACTCATTAATTTCAAGTATTAGTTATAATTTCTGCGGTTAACAAGTTCTCCTTTAGAACTCCAAATTACATTTTCAAAAAAAGGATTCTTTAGCTTAAAGGGAAAGTTAGCAGATATAATACTTAAAACAAGGCCTAAAACAATAGTTATCATCAGGGACTTTGGCTGCATTAACTCTAATTCTCATAATAATGACATGATGTAGTTCGACAATTACCCTCATCTTGTAGTGCAACTAAATTAAGTAACTTGTCCACAGCCTTCCGTTTCAACACGTTGCCTTCTTCTTGTGGACTTGAGGCAGGTTTCCCTTCACATTGTCCTTTTCAAAAGCATCCACAGCTCTCCTGACTTCTTCCCACAGTCTGCAGTAATGAGTCCACTCTGTCCTAGTGATCTAGCAGTGTTTATTGGTATTTTCATCTGCCAGTTGATATAGCCTCACTGTGTATCCCATTCAGGACTGATGCCTGCAATCTATAAGAGAGTATTCCAGCAGCACTTATACGAGGTGTGATCAAACAATACGGTGAATGTTTAAATAAAAAAAATTTATTACAGTAAAAGATACATTGCCATTAACCACCCTCAAAATACTCCCCCTCGCTTCGAACACACTTATCCCATCGTTCTTGCCACTTTCTGAAGCAGTTCTGGAAGTCCTCTTTTGTGTCTCTAGTTGTGCTGTCATGGCTGCCTCGATGTCCTGAATCGATTCAAAACATTTACCTTCCATTGTCATTTTGACTTTGGGGAAGAGCCAGAAGTCGCACAGTGCCAGATCCGGTGAATAAGGTGCATGAGGACACACCATAATGTTTTTATTTGACAGAAATTGTCATACCAGAAGTGATGTGTGACGTGGAGCCTTTCCATTGTGATCACAAAATACAGTGAATGCTGCTGCCGAGGGCCATCCAACGGAAAGGCAGGGATCTTCAATATGGGAAGTGGCGCACTGAACACCTTAGTAACAGTGTGTGACAAGTTTCAACTTGTTTGGTGCAGACAGCTGGGTGTGAGCTATGGTTGAGAGAAGGTGTGTTTTAAAGTGTGCCATAAATCATCCTCCATCATGACAATGTTCCGTGTCACACATCGCTTCTGGTATATGGCAATTTCTGTCAAATAAAAACATATTCACTGGATCTGGCACCGTGCAACTTCTGGCTCTTCCCCAAAGTCAAAATGATTCAGGACATCGAAGCAGCCACGACAGCACAACTAAAGACACTCACAGAAGGGGACTTCCAGAACTGCTTCAAAAAGGGGCAAGAACAATGGGATAAATGTTTGAAGCGAGAGGGAGTATTTTGAGCGGCATTAACAGCACTGTGTCTTTTACTGTAATAACTTCTTTAAATTTAAACATTCACCATATATTTTTTTTATTACACCTCATACTCTGGAGCCAGCCAGATCTGGACTGGGCTGCCAGTCCTAAACTGCCTCTGGTCATTAGCTCTGGGGTTTAGACATGTCGCTTAACCCTCTAGAACTTCAGTTACATCACTTATGAAATGTAGGTGAAAATAACTGCCTTGCAGATAAGTTGTAAGGATTGGGGATGAAATGTATGAAAGAGTTAAGCTAGAACACAGTAGATATATCACCAGCGGAAGCCACAAAAGATGCCAGAGAGTAGAATTTGGGACTGAGTAACTGGCTTAGTGTCTATCAAGGCATTTTTAATAGCCAGGCTGCTAAATGCCTTTTTTTTGGTAGTACTATAGTGACCACATGATTATTACCAGATTCTTAATAATACTAATACAAGAAAAATTTGTTTGACAGGTACTTCAAAATGATAAACAGTTTCAATTTTTATGAATTTTTATTAAGCCCATACTACATAATGTTTTCGTAAGAAGCAAAAACACTTTTTGTATTATAGAGCTGTAGGGAATCTGAGATATTAGTCAACCCTCTCATTTTGGCGATGAAGAACTTGAAGCCCAAGAAAGTTATGTGATTTGCCTAATGTCTTAATGTTCTTTAGAGGCACAGACAGAATTGAAACCCAAGTCTCTAAGCTTCCAAGCAAGAATTCTTTTTTGTTTATTTTTAAGAAACTAAACAGATTACATTAAAATGTGAAACTAATAAATTCTGTAAATGACTGATAATGGTGCAGGTAAACACGAACTAGGCTATTATCAGAAGACAGGAAATAGCAAGTGTTGGCAAGGATGTGGAGAAAGGGAACCCTAGTGTACTGTTGGTGGGAATACAAATTAGTACAGCCACTATGGAAAACTGTAGGGAGGTTTCTCTCAAAATTATAAATAGGGGGCTGGCCGAGTGGCTCAGTTGGTTAAGAGCTTGCTCAAGAGTGTGAGTTTTGAGCAACAGGATTGCCGGTTTGATTCCCACATGGGCCAGTGAGATGCGTCCGAGCTGAGCTGCCACTGAGCTGCCAACAGGTGGTAGGATGGCTCAGCTGGTGAGAGAACGTGCTCCTAACAACAAGGTTGCCTGTTCGAGATGGTGGGCTATACCCACCAGCAACTAAAGACTGAACCCAGCACCTTGAGCTGAGCTGCCGCCGGTGGGTGGGGGCTCAATGGATAGAGCATGTGCTCTTAACAACAAGGCTGCTAGTTTGACTCCTGCATGAGATGGTGGCTACACCCACCCACAACTAATTGAATACAGCACCTTGAGCTGAGTGGCCATGAGCTGTTGATGGGAAGCCAGATGACAACTGGACTTGGAGCTGAGCTTGCTGCACCCTCCACAACTAAGATTGAAGTACAACTTGGCCGTTCCCCTTCCCCAATTCCCCAACACTGTTCCCCTCCCACAATTCCCCAATAAAAATATATTAAAAAAATTAAAAATAGAACATATGACCCAGCAATTCTACTTCTGGTTATTTATCAGAAAAAATTAAACACTGACTTAAAAAAAATATATGAACCCCCATGTTCACTGTAGCATTATTTACAATAATCAAGATATGGAAACAACCTAAGTGTCCACCAATAGATGAAACGATAAAGAAGATGTGAGATATAAACATATATATATATATATATATATATATATATATATATATATATACACATANATATATATATATATATATATATATATATATATATATATATATATATATACACATACATATACATACTGGGGGTGCCAAAAACATGTATACACATGACTTGTATTCATCATTTGTTATTGGTATATGTTGAGTATTACAATTTTAATACAGTTTTTTCCTTTCTTAAAATGTGTATACATTTTTTTGGCATGCTCTGTATATATACAATGGAATACTATTCACCAATAAAAAAGAATGAAATGTTGCCGTTTGCAAAAAGATAGATGGAACTTGAGGTCATTATGCTAAGTGAAATAAGTCAGACAGACAGACAAATATTATGTGATCTCACATTTGAAATCTAAAAAATAAAATACACACAAAAAAATGAAACAAGCTCATAGATACACAGAACAGATTAGTGGTTGCCAGAGGTGGAGGGTACAGGGTGGATGAAATGAGCGAAGGGGGGTAAAAAGGTACAAAATTCCAGTTATAAAATAAATAAGTCCTGGGGATGTAATGTACAGTACAGTGACTAATGATAATAATACTGTGTTGCATATTTAAAAGTTGCTAAGAAAGTACATCTTAAAAGTCCTCATTACAAGAAAAATAATTTATAACTATATATGGTGGTAGATGTTAATTTGTCTTATCATGGTGATCATTTCATAATATATACAAATATCAAATCATTATGCTGTATACCTAAAACTAATATAATGTTATATGTCAATTATACCTGAATAAAAAAATAACAAAACAGATTACATTAAAATTTGATACTAATAAATTCTATAAATGATTGATAATGTTGGAGGTAAACACAATTATCTTACCTGTAAGAACCGTACATAACTTTCTGGCAGTCAATTAACAAAAATTTCTGTTCCAATTTTCCATAAAATTTTGCTCCTGTTTTTGAAAGATAGTCTTGGCCTTTTACAGTCCGCACTCGAATATTCTACAATTATATGTAAATATAAAGTGAAAATTAAGGCTAGAAAGGGGCTATTTTAAAAAATATATATATGTCAAAGAAAGTTTTAGTACCAAAAAAGTATACTTGAAATAATTTTTTAAATAATTTATAACAAAAAAAAAGGAAAAAGCAAATTTTAAAACTACCCTAGAAAGAAATACTTTAGGAAAATACTCACTCAAAATATGTATTTTAGCATAACTTAAATAGCAGCTATTGCTTTACATTTACACAGGATAGTTTCATAAATCACTTAGGGTCCTACTGCAAGAGATCCTTTCAGGTCATAGTTACATGATGTCAAAATAACTAAAATTAAAATGCACCCTCCTTTTAAAAAGACAAATATAACTGAAAACACTATGCCAAATGATTGTAATACGTAACACGTGCTGAATGAAAGAATCACTTGAGTCAGTGGCTTCAAGGTTGTGCATGCAAAACAGAAGCATTAATTATGACTTGCAGCAAAGTAAACTCAGAAGCTTAAGTGCTCCAGAATCAAGAAAAGCAGCATATCTGTCATGAAGATGTGTGTTTCAGTCACATTCTGAAAAGTACAAGAGGACCCTTTTGTGATTAATCATTATACTACCTTAAATATATATATATATATACACATATATATATATATGTATATATATATATTTTTTTTCTATTTTACTTTTGGAATAATAGTAGCTTAACGTTACTTAAATTCAACTGAGATAAAAATGATACACAAAATGCTGAGAAAAAAACATGGAATTCTTACCCTCAGACGTTGAACTTGACAACCTTGTTTTTCAGTCATATTTAGGAAATGATTAAAGTTGTATTCATCGAGCAAAATGTATACAGATATCCCTCGAGTTGATGCCTCCACTATTTCTTTAAAAATATCCACATCTGTAAAGATATCCATCACTAAAGCAATGACCTGTTAAAGATAAGAATATCAAACAATTTTAGATACCCAAGATACCCAAAAGACATAGAAATTGCTTGCTTTCAGTAAAAATTGTATAAAACAGAAAATTAAATAGATAATACCTATAAATATATACACAAATATTTGTGTTTTGTACAATAGAAGATAAAAAGTATGTTGAAAATAAGCAAAGGACTATATGGTTGGACCAGCGCTGAGACGATGGCTTTACTGGGCCAGTCTCCGAAAATCATGGGGAGATAGACGCTGCTGCCTTTGATTGGCCTTGGTCCTCATACCTCCAAAAAGAAACAGGATCTTGGTAAGTTCTATGAGCTGAAGTCCAAACTTCGGCAGATTATGAACCAGTTTGGCCCCTCAGCCCTAATCAACTTGTCTAATTGCTCATCCATAAAACTGGAACCAGCCAGCAACCCCACAAGGCTCCATGGCCAATAGCACTACAGTGGTAAAGATACCAGGCGCTCATGGGTCAGGAGGGCATCTCAGTCCTGAAAACAATCAGGTATCGACCAAGAAGAAATTACAAGACTTGGTAAGAGAAGTGGATCCTAATGAGCAATTGGATGAAGATGTGGAGGAGATGCTGCAGATTGCTGATGATTTTATTGAGAGCATGGTGACTGCAGCCTGCCAATTTGCTCGGCATCACAGATTCAGCACCCTGGAGGTGAAGGATGCCTAGCTGTATCAAGAGAGCCAGTGGAACATGTGGATCCCTGGGTTTGGCTCTGAAGAAATTTGACCCTACAAACAAGCTTGCACTACAGAAGCTCACAAACAGAGAATGGCATTGATCCAGAAAACAACCAAGAAATAATATATGGAAAGGTCAGTGAATGGACAACAATGTACTTGGAGATACTTGACCTGAGACCTCAGCTATCTCATCCGTGGATTTTTTTATTTTAAATGCACTACATGTATACACACACACACACACACACACACACACACACACAAATACATATATATTATATATGTATATTACAATTACATATACATAAATTACAAATATATATATATTACACATATGTATATATGTGTAATATATATATATATAATATATATATATATATATATATAATTAACTGCAGCAATATCTATAATGACTGAGAGAATCTGCCAAAAGAATAAAGACTCCTACTTCCTCACACAAAATAATGACTATATAACATTAATTTCATAGTAGCTTTAAGTCAAAGGGAATTTGCATTTCAGTAGGATGTTGAATGAAGGACAAATCCAAATCACAGTTTACAATGTTGCCTATAGGGTAGGTGGAGGGGACAGGTAGATGGAAGGTGGAAATCAGTGCTACAAATTTACATGGGAGACAATTCCAGGGAAAGGCACACTTTCTGGAACTGGTTGTGAAAAATGAAAGTCTTGGGGACCTGGGACAGAGAACAAAAATCTTCTAGAAATAGATATATAGCTAAGAATGGGCCAAATATCAGAAAGAGTATAAGAAGACCTGAAGACTAGAAGATTAAATGCATGTGCCTAAAATTAGCTTAGGAGATAACATAAGCAAAAGAAAGAAAAATTAACAAAAAAGGTGACATAATTAAGAAGGTAAATGAAGAGAGAACTATCCTAAAGAACAGGCCACTAAAATGGAGAGTCAAGTTAACTGTTGGACAGAACGATTACTGACTCTGAGAAGCAATGGGAGTAAAATAATGCTGAAAGAAATAGTAAAATCTTTTAACTGACCACCTACTACATGTCAGACAAGGACAAAACACTTGCGTTTCTAGTGGGGGAAGACACCACAAGTAATTAACATAATAAAGAGATAAATTATATAATAAGCCATAAGATGATAATTTTATTTGGGAAAAAATAGAGCAGAATAAGGATCTGGAAACTAAGGAGGGGTTTGAAGAGTTTCAGGGAGAAAATGACCTTTGAGCAAAGGCATAAAAGAAACTGAGGAAGTCCTGAATGTGGATATCTTGAGGTATTATCTTCTAGGCAGAGGAAAACAGCAGTGCAAAGGCCCTATGTCAGGGGGTAGTGGAAATGGAATGAGAAAGGGGGAGAATACTCACAATGACTGGAAGGCATTATTAAGCCTTCAGCATTTTTTTTTTTCCTGAATTAGATGGTAAGCTGATGAGGCTTTTATGTTGAGGTAATAAAATGATATGATTTATGTTTGAAAAGGATTGCTCTGACTGTGTTAACAGCAGACCACAAGACTTTAAGGTTGGGAGCCAGGGTGGAAACAGGGGGTCCAGTTAGAACTACTGGAGCAAGTCAAGTGGGAGGTGATGGTCCTGGTCCTAACCATCATCAGTGATGAAGGGAAGTGATCAGATACTAGATATTTTTGAGCCAAAAGGACTTCTGGGTGAATTGAACATGGGGTATGAGAGAAAAAAAGAGAAAAATGATGACTCTAACATTTTTAGCCTCACCTATCTAAAGAACCAAGTTGTCCTCAACTGAGATAGATAGTGAAGAGCACCGCTGCACTAAATTTTTGGTAGCAAATTAAAAACAAACAAACAAACAAAAAACAAGTTAGTTAATGTTTGAGGTGCCTAGGTATCCACGTGGAATGCTGAATAGACAGGTCTAGGCCACAGCTATCAATTGGGTACCCATGGTATAGAGATGACAATTAAATTCAAGTCACCAAAAAAGATTGGATAAATAGCAAAGAAGACCAAGGACTGAGCCCTGCAACAAGAGGAGATACCTGCCAAGGAGAAGGAGGAAACTAAGAGAAGGAGGCATCTTGGAAGTCAAGTTAAGATAGTGTATCAAGGAGGGTGTGCTCAAGAGCGTCAAATACTGCTGCTAGGTCAAGAAACATGAAGATTACTGTATAAATTCATTGGATTTAGTAATATACAGGTTATTGATGAGTTCCACACGTGTAGTTTTAGTGGAGTGGTAAGAGCAAAAGTCTTTATTAAAAGAGGGTTAAGAGGGCATGGGAGGGCAGGTGCTGGAAACAGCAGGAATAGGTAACTCTTTTCGAGTAATTTGGCAACAATAAGAAGCAGGGAAATGGAAAGTAGCTGTGGGTAGAGCTGGGTCAAGAGAAGTTGTATTTTTTTGTTTTGTGTTAAGGTGAGAGAAAGAACAGCATGTCTGCATGTTAATGAAATGTTCCAGTAAAGAATGAAAATTAACAATGCAAGAGATGGTGGATGGTGGGGTCGGGGAGGAGAGAATTTCTGGAGCAGTTTCTTTGAGTAGGTAATAAAAGATACAATCCTAGTGTAATAGTGAAGTAATTAAGAGCACAGAGAATAAAGACCAGTAAAAGATCATCTGTAATATCAAGCCAGAAGGCCAAGTATCAGTGTGCAGATGCCGGTGGAAGAACAGATATGATAGTGAGGCTATGGAAGTTCTCTTTTGAATGCTTCGCTTTTTCTCAGTGAACTGGGAAGCAAGGTGTTCAATTGAGAAGATGCTGGATTACAGAAGACATGTTAGAAGTATGAGGAAAGGGGTATTAAGTAGTCATCTAGGATGGTAGGAAAGGGAACAGACTACAGAAATACAGTATGATTGCTGGGCAGCAAAAAGGATGCATCAGGTCATAGATTTAAAATGAGGCAAGTCAATGTGGTTGTGAGTTATTCTCCAACTTTGTTCAGCTGCATGGAGCAGGCAAAGAGTTTTATTTAGCCATGGATGTAGTTCTGGACCTGGGGGTAGAGCCAAGTGAGAGAAGGAAGTGGAATTGATGGTTATGTCGATGGAGATAGAGAGGAATGAGGGTGTCATGGATGACAGAGGCCACAGAATGAGGGTGGGATCCAGGAATCTGAAGTCTTGCCGGGGTTAAAGGATAGTTAGATATTAAGGAATTGTTTTTAATTTTTATGTTGACAATAACAATAAAAAGATAATATTTTAAAATACACATATTGCTATTACAGATAAAATGATATGTTCCCTTCACATTATAACAGATAAAGTTGACAGTGAATTGTTAATTGTGGAAGATGGTTGATAGTATATGAGGATTCTAATTACTATTCGCCATACTTCTGAAAATTTCCATAGCGCCAAGTTAAAAGAATTAAATAAAGGAATATTGGGTACTAGCAGGTACCAGAGGGAATAAGCCAGAAATATAAGCGGTAGTCAGATGGGGATATGTATATGAAATAGGTTCTATAAGATCTGCAGTTATAGGCTATGATGCTATGAAGAATATGATTGGGTGTCAGAGGCTCAATATATGTAGGACAAAATCATGAGAGGGCAGAAGGACAATCAACTGGTCTTTAGAAGGATCTCTTCCATGTACATTGAAATGACCAGGAATTGAGACAGGAATAGTATTAAAAAAAGTGATAGAGAACAAAAATAGTCAAAAAGTGAGAGGAAATGGCATGACCTTGGAATAGAAACATGGCTACAACAGTCAGGGTCATGTAATGGATACACTGTAAATATGTCAGAAGGTGAGCAAAGTAATAGGTATTATATTAAATCATTTTATTGGCCCTAATAAGATGTTAAAACATAAATACTGGACCATGCACAAAGCACACGAGTTGATGACATTCTTCAAACTACCTGTGAAACATACTTGAATTAGATTTTCTCTAGGTAGAACAATTTCAATCATTCTAGAGGCGTCTTACGATCCGTTTCTTATTTATAAACGGTGTGAGGTGCCACAACAAAAGAGAGCTAGTGGTAAAAACCTCGTGTCTTGTGAATATTCTGTATAACATCAAATACGTGAAACACCTTCAAATCACATCCACAATTATTAATTAATGAACTTACTCTGCTTTAATGAGTGGTGTGACAATGTATGGGCACTGAGAGGAAGAAAAGAAAATGTCCATATTACACAACGATATTTTACAAAATAACTTTTAGAAATATAAGTCTGGAGCAGTCTGGCACCAATTCTTTTTTTTTTTGTTTTAAACTGGAAAGGCATTTTTAAAATAAACATTTTAAAATAAAGAAACATGGCATTCTTTAAGACATTATCAACA